TATAGTAATGTAAAATAATAATAAAAGGATAATTCAAGAGAATTGGAATAATTGATGATTAATATCTTCAAGGATCTTCACATTAATTATTTCCAGATCCAAGAAAATCATATTTGAATCAAAATTATACTCTCTCTTCTAAAATTATATAAAAATATTATTTTGGAAATGAGAGAGAGAGAGAGAGAGAGAGAGACAGACAGAAAGAAAAAAAAGGAAAAAAAGAATCACCGAGGATCTCGTGAGCACATTTTTAATTATATACAATCGCGTATTTTTTTCCCTTAAGTGCTTTAAAAACTCAATTGTATATTGTATCGCGTGTAAACGTTGCTATAAAAGCTCATAATTAGAATCAATGAGAATGAATGCGATACGAAAAGGAATACTATCAATCAATTCGCTAATATTGGTCCATAGAATTATTTTTAAAATTATTTTTTATATACCCTGCTTTTACAGATAAAATGAGAAATAAAATAAAATTTACTTTTAATGTTCGAAAAAAATTAAAAGATTATTGAGAAATTTAATTACAATTTAAAAAATTAAATTGTAACTAAGAAAAAATTATTTTTAGTCTAACTGGTATTAGCGAATGTCTCAAGATAAATAGATATCGACATGATCTAGAATATTCGCAAGATAAAATTCATGATAAAATTCAGAACGATTACAATACTTGCGCGCGCGCGTGTGTGTGTGCGTGTGAATAAGATTAAATATTCATGAAAATATTTTTCTGTGATAAATATATTTCGAAAAAAAAAACTTAGCCAGTCTGACGATACGATAATTTACTTTGCGGATCCAAAAAAACTTGTTAACGCAAGTAAAAAGAAAGGTAAAGAGTCGCATTTAACACATAAAAATGTCATCGAAGTTTCTTCTCTTTTTTTTTTAATTTTGAAAATAATATTTTGAATTTTGCATTTATTCAGCGTAAAATCAATTAATTCAGGATCAAATTTAATCCACTATAATTCTTAAATTGTTTGTTTGCAAAATCTGAAATTAACATAGAATTAAGCTAGACAAGTTTAAAAATCAAGTTTAAAATCATCTGATTTTATATTTCATGATAATAAGAATATGAATAGAAAATATAATATCAAATATATGTGATATGTAAATGCGGCTCTAGAAAGAGAATACGTGAATATATCGATATGTGTATATATGATACTTGAAAGAGAGAAAGATAAAGAGATAGAGAGAAAGAGAGAGAAATGAACGAAAGAAGAAAAAGAAAAGACGCAGAATATACATGTATGCGTGGTATTTAATATACACGTCATATAGAAAACGTCGTATATATATATATATATGTATATATATATATATATGAAAAGATAATAATGGAATTCTTTTAATTTTCATAGACTTTCTAATATAATGGGATAATGACCAAGCTCGTAAATTGATCAATTGTATAATCCGATATAAATATAAACGTGAATATTTCAAGACGAAATCGATTAAATCATAATTATATAATAATAATATAAATAATGCTAATAACGATACCGATTGTAGTCATAAAAATAAATATAATAATAATACTAATAATATCGGGATAAGAATAATAAAAAATAAGGATAACAATAATTATTTCTGCGATATCATTTTTATTCGTCTGATACCATTTAATGGCAGGTGATAACAAAAGATTCTTCTTAGATACATGGCAAGATAATCGCGTATAATCGCGTTCGAGAGATAATTATTATTATGTAATGTTGTCAAATGGTACTAGAAGTTCGCATAGTTAGAGCAAAACTTAAAAAAATATTAAAATAATAGTGTTGATAGTATAATATCCAAATTTATCTTGA